TCGCAACATCTCCAAGATACGTACATTCCTCACCCCAGACACTACTAAACAACTCGTACACTCCCTTATTATCTCACGCCTGGACTACTGCAACTCCCTTCTTACTGGCCTACCCAAACAACTGCTATCCCCACTCCAGTCTATCCTGAACTCAGCGGCTAGATTCATCCACCTCACCAACCGCTCCACATCTGCCTCCCCCCTCTGCCAATCCCTTCACTGGCTCCCGATTGGCCAACGCATTAAATTCAAACTACTAACTCTGACATACAAAGCCATTCGCAACGTTGCCCCAAACTACCTAACCGACCTGATACCCAAATACCACCCTACCCGTGCCCTTCGCTCCTCACAGGACCTCCTACTCTCCAGCTCCCTAGTCTCCTCCTCCCACACCCGACTGCAGGACTTCTCCAGGACTTCCCCCATCCTCTGGAACTCCCTTCCCCAATCCATCAGACTGTCACCTACCCTCCTCACTTTCAGGCGCACCCTAAAAACCCATCTCTTCAGGGAAGCCTACCCCACCCTCACCTAGCAACCGATCTCCTCCTACCACTCCATCCCCCACAGCCACTTCCTCCTGTACCACTATCCCCTCCCTCCTAGATTGTAAGCTCCAAAGAGCAGGGCCCTCGAACCCCTCGTGTATTGTATTGTTACTGTATTGTCTCATGTTCTGTCCCCCACGCTAATGTACAGCACTGAGCAAACCCTTTGGCGCTATATAAACACTGTATAATAATAATAATAACATGTTCCCATAGCTGCAGCCGTGCCTGCCTCCCACCCCTCCTTCTGACAGACAGTACGGGGAGAACTTCTCCCCGTACTATCTGTCAAATCTGAGAACAGTGCAGCCATGCGGGGCACCACCCACACAGCCGCGCCATTCATTCACAGACTTCCATGAAGGAATGAACTGCAAGTCCCAACAGCCTTAGCGGCTGTCGGCTTGTAGTTTTCAATGAACCACCACGGAGCTGTGGAGTGCCATGGTAGTTCATTGAAGCTTCCTGTCAGAATATCTGCTGCACTGTACGTCCCATACAGCACAGCAAGCAGATATTCTGACAGGTCTGCAGAAGAATTGCATGACATCAGCGATCTACTGATTGCTGGTGCAATGCTTTCCAGGCTCCTTTGGACAAAAATAAAATGCACATTTTTTTTTTTCCCACCTGCTAAAAAATGTGCACTTATTATTTTTATACAGAAGGTGAACTTACCCCTTTAAAGCTGAACTCCAGGCAAAATCTTCCCCCGCCCCCCCTAAAAGGGCTTGGAGGTGGTTGGCGTGAAGGGAATCAGGAGCTTTCCGATCATGTGAAGGGAATCAGGAGCTTTCCGATCATGTGACGGATGTGACAGCCAATCACAGTGGTTACGTTATCTGAGTGACTCCCGGCTTTTTAAAGCTCTTAAAGGGCTGGGAGGTGGTTGGCATGAAGGGAATAAACTCACCCAATCCTTTGATCTAGAAAACGGTGCTCCCCCACGATCCTGCGGTGGACTGTTTCTGGTCTATGGGGCCTGCTCTGGACATGATGACATCAGGAACAGTCCACTATTCAAAACCAGGAGGATCAGGTAAGTATAAATCCTCTCTCAAATACCCTAGAAAAAGATAAAAAAAAAAGTTAACCTGTGCAGTGTGGGCACAGCATCACTTCATTGGGGGGAAAAAATGCCTGGAGTTCAGCTTTAAAGCAACCCAGAGATAAGCCCATTTTTTTTTTTTCCATTCAATCAGCGGGTTGAATGAAAAAAAAAAAGAAAAAAGATCCTATTCCCCCATCCCCACCCACTGGATGTGAATGGAGGAATCCTGCTGAGCTACTGTAATCTGACAGATGGGAGACCTCCCTGAATACACTGATCAGCACAGTCAGCACTGATTGTTTGGGAAAAACCAAACGGGCTGGTTGTACAGAAATTGATTGGTGGATGGACTTGTGTACAACCAGCCTGTCCATACATGAATCAAAATTCACCCAAACCCTGCTGGACCAGACACATTTTGATCCACATATGGCTTAAGCCCTTCCAAATGCAGGAGTTCCATGGGAAGTTTAAACAACTTTCATGCCCCCCAGTCCCCAATCCCCTGTCAGAATACAATAGCTCAGCGGGGAGATCACTGTACTTACATTGGATAGTTTGTACAGCAAGCTCCTTCCGAGCTCTTTGTTTTTGTTTTTTTTCATTCAGCAGGCTGGGTTGAATGAAAAAACAAAAACTGATAGTGTGTACCCAACATTAGTTTGTCCATTCAGATCCTAGAAACGCAGAATTCTGTTTTCTCTAAACTTTGGTAAACATTAAGTGTGACTGGCGCCATTGAAAAATCTGCATTGATATGAGTTTAGAATTGTTCTATGAACACACATAAGTACAGTTCCAGTGTAAGAGGCCTTACTCAGTCCCAGGCTTCCCAAAAGGAGCAAGAGAGCCCAGGAACTACAGCAGGGGAAGCAGTTTTTGGACATGTTGGAGAGGGATTAGAATATCTATCGGGTTTCATTGCTGTTTTTTGTCCCTGTTACAGAGATTCACCTTCTCGATTTGTCCTGTTTACCATTATCACCTTGAATGAAAGAAATCACACATTTGAAATTGTCACCAGAACAGGAATAGAGAGGAAATCTTGCAATCGGGATACTAGTTCTGGTGACCTTGGAGACAACCAGGGATTTCTGCTCACTCCCTGTTTTTGGGATGCAGATGGCAAAAAAAACCCACAGGAGTTTTTTTTTTTTTTTTCTTTCAACAATGAAAAACAAAAAGTCTATTATAAAGTGGTTGTAAACTTCTGATATGAATTATAAACAAAGCATATCCCTCTAGTGCGTGCTTGTCTCATTTCAGAACACTAAGTGTCATTTCTTTCTGGTGCCTTATTCCTCTGCTATCTGGCTGAGTCTTTTTTGACAAGGTTTTCTGATACCAAGAGGAAAAAAGGAGACAGGGGAGGGAGCTCCAGAATACAGTCTGTGATTGACAGCCTCAGCTCTGTTCCTGTGCTGCTGTCTGTCCCCTTTACGTTCCTTCCCTCTAATCGGTTCTCGGCTCCCCTTACTGAGTGTAGTTTCAGCTTCCTTATCCCTGCTTTCTGAAAGCTCAGACAAGCTGTAGAAATTCTGCACTTTGAACAGCTGTAGAGAAGAGAGGCGGCAGATAAACAGCTACAACTTCTTTAGGAGAATTTGTTTCATCGATGTGTATCACCTGAGAACAGTCACTTCACTGGGTTACAACCACTTTTAAAACCACTAAAATCTTTCAAATAGTTCCCTGCATGATATTTGCCTTGGTGGCGTACCATCATGCACTGATTTACAGTATTCAACACTTTCAAGTGTGTTGGATGTCTGTGTTCCCGCTGTAGATTGCGGTTTCGTCCTTTGACCCCATGTTAATACAGGGGACAGTATTGACATAGAAATCAGTGAATAGGGAACAGGCAACCTGGAAGCGTTGAATGCGTAAGATTCTGATGGAGGGTATACCACATAACAGAGTGAAGATCAACACCACAGGAAATGCGGCCACACCAAATCTGACTTTGAAATCGTGCAAATTCAAGTTAAGTCGCATGATTTCAAAAGTCGAATGTCAGTGCGACTTCAGGTGCGACTTGGAAGACATCTGTGCGACTTCATGCACAGGTGTCTATGCAAGTTGCTCCTGATCTTGCTAAAAAAGTAGTGTATGAGGTACAGATGGAGTCAGTCACACCGATTTGACCTCTTTTAATTGTGGGCAATAGGGTGTGACTTGTCATGCCATTTGAAATGATCAAATCGCATGACAGTTTGCTCAGATGTGACCGGGCCTAACACCTGTTCCTTTGCAAAGAACTGTTTTTAAGATTTTCAGGGGGCAAAAGTTATATAGCTTGAAAAGGATATCTAACCCAAGAGCAAAATGTGACGTATTGTAGCTTTACCAGTCTTTAGATGTGGTGGCTGCATTTGCTTTCTTTTTTAATGCTGCATACATTTGTTACAAGTACAGAAAAATACCAGTGTCCTTGTAACTTCCTGTATACTGAACTGATATCTCAAACTTTGTTAGCATTTCCAGAGGCGGGAGAGCAAGATATTTTTGTAGACCAAATGAGGAGTGCACATAGGGTGACAACACTGCTCCTCCATAGATATAAATGCTGTCACCCTAGAATAGAAATGTGACTTTTGGGGGTGGACCCCTGTATCATCTCCCCAAATCCCTCTTATGTGTAAAGGCACCCTGTGCCTGTAAGGGGTGCAGGGTGCTCAGTCCGGATATTGTGTAGACATGTATAGGTTGGGTGTGGAGGTTGTCCATTGTTCACTGCCATGTGGTTACCCCACTGTTCTATTGCGTGTCTTGGTTTGGTGGGGGGTGTTTCCGGCAGCCCCTCCCTCCTGATGGGATGGCCTGATGATGTGTTTCCTGTTCCTGGTTGTATTTCCCCGCCCTGTGTATATATCTTGTGTTTGTGTAAAAATAAAGCAGTTGACTTCCTGTATTGAGAGAGTGTGGTGCTATCTATTTCCTGCATGATCAGTGGTGGTGTCCGGGGATTTGTGTTCAGACAGGGAAGCTGGAGTCTAATGGAAATACCCAAGTGCGGTCTGGGTCCGGTTCCGTTACAAGAAAGTGTTACTAGCAGAATCAGCTGGTAAGAATAAGGGAAAAAACCTAATGCAATGACCGCATCTAATGACTGGTAAGATGCAATGATATAAAATGTGGTTTTTGGCTTTAAATACAGTGTAAACCGTGTAAGAACAGTTTGACCTAAGTAAATGTACCAAGATGGAATTGTAAGCAAGGCTCCAGTGTTCCTAAAAGTCACTTTTCTAATTGTTATTTATGCCTTTTTATTGCTTTATTTGAACATCAGCAAAGTGATTCTTTGTCATACATAGGTGTGATTACCCCTCAGGGAAAGGCCTCTCCTGCCTTCGTTTATACCTGATCGACCTGCAGTGAGTGTGCATCAGTCCTTAACAATGCCAGCAGCTGTAGTGGACAATAGCCAGGTAATATGTGAGGTATGGGCAGTCAACCTGGAGGAGGAAATGCGTAAGATTCGAGAGCTTGTTCGGACCTATGGATACATTGCAATGGTGAGTGCAGTCTGTTTTCTTTACAATTGTTTTACCTTAAAGGGAATGTTCATACTTTTCAGTTTTTAGATAAATGCGTCCATGAGGCCAGCCCGGGGTAAATAATCTTGTGAGTATATGGCAGTGTTTTAAACAAAGCCTTGTTTTGTGCATAATTTCTAATTGTGTTTGTACAAGAGGGCAGCCATACTTGATTGTTAATATGTTCAGACTGCTTCCTGATTACATAGCAATAGATTCCCTGAGTTTGCAGGGATTTCTTCTCACTTCCTGTATTGACTTTGGGACACGAAAGGAATGGAAATCTCCCCAATGTTACACAGATGGGGGAAAAAAAACCTTTCAGGGGTTATAACCCTCCCTTACTCTATCCAGAATGGAAAACAATTGTTTAGCCTATAGTTCTACTTTAAGCGTAGCTGATCCTTTCATGTCCATGGCACACAGAGGAGTTTGATGTAATTAATTTCATTGGGCAGAATAAATTCTTATTCAGGCCAATGAAATTAATTCACACCCAAGCACTTAACAGGCCTAAAAACATTTAGAGATGTTTACATGTGTCAGGCATTTTTCCTTCCAAAAAACTGCTGCCAGGAGGAAAGTGTGTGTGTGTGTGTGTGTGTACATATCTATCACTGTGGCTTGAAACTTAACCATTAGGCTGCACTAAAACCTTGTTGAGAAAATGTGAATGTGGCTACCTCCTGCCATTCTTGCCTCCAGGACGTTTCCTGAGCCTCTCCTATCCTATGGAACTCTCTACCCCAATCTGTCCGACTATCGCCTACTGTTTGCTTTTAGACGATACCTGAAAACCCTCCTCTTTAGAAAAAGTCTATTCTGCCCCCAACTAACAACTGGAGTTTTATTTCCTCCATCCGCTCATCCCCCACAGCTGTTACCTTTTTGTATCACTTGACCCTCCTTCCTATATTGTAAGCTCCAACGAGCAGGGCCCTCTGATTCCTCTGTATTGAATTGTACTGTGCCCCCACTGGATCAGCTGATCGTTTATTCTAGAGGACTAAGCTCATACTCACCTGACCCGCTGGTCCTATGGAAAACTGCCTGCTCCCATGGTCCTGGACTATTCTTGTCTGTGGAGCGTTCCTTGAGCATGCTGATGCCAGGAAAAGTCCATTTACAAGACTGCTGTTCTGTGGGGGGGGGCAGGAGCTGAAAGGACCAGTCTTATTCACGGAGGATCGGCGGGTCAGGTGAGTATATCTTTGGTGTCTTCTTCTCTAGAATAAAACGAGCATTTGACCCGTGCAGTGTCGGCACAGCCCCAATGGATGGGTGAAAAAGTTTTCCCAAATTTTGGCTTTAAAGCATTAGAGGCCCCAAAGATTAAACATTTAAATTGTGAGGAATAGGATTTGTTTTCCTTTAATCCAGTGGTCTCCAGACTACGGCCCGGGGGCTGAATGCTGCCCTTTGCTTGCCCTTATCTGGCCCTTGGGGCACTTTTTCTCCCACTGATACAAGACACTATTCCTCCCACTGACACCAACAAGGGGGCATAATTCTTGCTACTGACATCAACAGTCACTATTCCTCTCACTGAAACAAACCATGGGGCACTATTCTTCCCACTGACACCAAAAACGGGGCAGTATTTCTCCACTTGCACTTAGAATAGGGTGCAATTCCTCCCTTAATGCCAGAGATGCATTGTTTACTCCCAATGACGCAGGACAATTTCTACTCCCAATGGCCACAGCCCAGCCCCCCTAAAGTCTGAAATCCAGTAAACTGGCCCTTTATTTAGAAAGTTTGGAGACCCCTGCTTTAAACAGGTGCTCAAGGTCTAATATGGTAATATATGTATTTGTACATCTATGGGACAGACATTCGTAGAGGCTAGAGGAGCATTGGCATGACAATAGGGCCTGAGTGATGTTGATCTCGTTCAGTAATACGTGACATGATAATGTCACTATGTGTGCGATAACCTCATCTCGTGATGTCATCATGCACCTAGGCGTTCATGACATGATGACATTGCAGCTCGGCAATTTTCGTTAATATAAATAGAGGGCAAACACTGGGATGGCTGCCAGCTGCCATGTGACATTTCTGATGTTTGTTATTTTATTTGTACTTTACTCCTGACATAGCATTGTTTAACCGCTTCCCGACCCTCCTATAGCAGAAATACTGCTACAGGGCGGCATGGGTGTGCTAATCACGTATATGTACGTGATTTTGCTTTTCCTGGTAGAGGGCGCTTGTTCCGGCTGGTGATTACTCGCCGGCGCCCGGTGATTGTGAGGATCTCCGACAGAGAGGAGAACTATTTGTAAACAAAACAGTTCTCCTCCCCGTCAGCTCGTGTACACTGCTTTGCATGGCTATGCACAGCACAGTCATACAAAGCAGTGTGCTTACAGTGAAGCACAAACACACGGCCCCATAGTAAAACACACCCAGCACACGGTTAGCCTTTGATCGCCATTCATGTTAACCCCTTCCTGCACAGTGCCATTAGTACAGTGTCAATTTTTTTTTTTCTTTTTTTTGCACTGATCACTGTATTGGTGTCACTGGGGATGTCAGTGACACCAAGTCAGTTCCCTCCAGTGTCAGAATGCCCGCTGTAGTCCCGCTATAAGACGCTGATCGCCGCCATTACTAGTAAAAATAAAAATTCCAGTATATATATACCACTATTTGTAAACGCTATAACTTTCACGTAAACCAATTAATTTACATGTATTTGGATTTTTTTTTTAGCAAAGACATGTAGCAGAAGACATTTTGGCCTAAATTGATTTTTTTTATTTATTTATTTTTTTTTTTACTGGACATGTTTAATAGCACAAAGTCAAAAATATTGTTTTTTTTTTTTTCTCAAATTGTCAGTCCTTTTTTTTTTTTTTTTATAGCTCAAAAAATGCACAGGCGATCAAATACCACAGAAAGAAATCTCAATTCATGGGAAAAAAAAGACATTTCATTTGGGTATAGCGTTGCATGACCGCACAATTGTCAGTTAATGCAACTCCATAACGCAAAAAATGGCCTGGTCAGGATGGGGGGGGGGGGGTAAATCCTCAGGAGGGCAAGTGGTTAACAGGTGAAAAATGCAGGGTTTTAGGGTTACTGTAGGGAATTTTTGACCACGTATGTGTTTATTGGGTGAGCTTTTTTTTTTTTTTTTTTTTTTTTTTTTTTTTTTTTTTTTTTTTTTGTTCTGGGAATTTTTTAAATATGATTTTGATTTTGTTTTATCAAAGATAATCCATAGATTTAAATGCAGCCTAAAAGTTAGGTTTTAGGTAATAGTGGTTAGTTGCGCAGTGATTTAGCACATCACCTCAGTTTTGACATATAATTTTCATATAAATAAAAACATTATATAGTGAAAAAACTTTAAATAGAGGCGTTTTTGCATTGAAGTCAATTGTAATTATCATCAGCAAAATACAGTTAACCATATTTTCGGCCAATAACTTTCGATATATTATTGCATCACTAATTTTCAGGCTTCTGGTGTGTGCGTGTGTGTAAATTTAAAGGTAAATCTGATCCTCATCTAAAGGCCGGTACTCACTGGCCAATGATTGGCTGGTTCAACAGAAACCATAGGACAAGTATGTACAGCAGCTTGTCCCACAGAAGTTGTCCTATTGTCCTTTTGTTGAATGGGCATCAGTGCCTGCGAGCATTGATCAGTGTGTCTTGGGGGTGGGATGCTAGGCGGTCCCTCTGTCAGAAAACAATAGCTCAGCAGGGGAGATTGCTGTACTAACTTTGCTTCTTTCACTGTTTTTTTTTTTTCCCCTTCAACCCAATTTGTTGTCTTCCTCTCCCAGTTTTATAGGACTCTATGGAGTTTAGTTGTGGTTAGCAGGGAAAGTTAAATACAGATTGGTGAAAAGCTTTTGCTCAGTGCTGAACGATTTTTGTTTTTTTCCCTTATTCTGCATTTACTTTAACTTATTAAGATTTTTTTTTTCCTGACAATTTTGCTGTTTTATTGGAATCATATTGGGAGTCTTCATAGCACTTTGCTAGAAAGGTGTTGATTCATTCTATGCTTTGTTTTTGTTCCTGCAGGATACAGAGTTTCCTGGGGTGGTTGTAAGGCCAATCGGGGAATTTCGAAGTACAATAGACTATCAGTACCAACTTTTACGCTGCAATGTGGATCTGCTCAAAATTATACAGCTGGGTCTCACCTTCATGAATGAGAAAGGAGAGTACCCCCCTGGAATCAACACTTGGCAGTTTAATTTCAAGTTTAACCTCACGTAAGTCTCTCCATCTTCTGGAACATTGATTGGATTATGTCATGGAGAAGGCCAGACCTTTTTTGGATATAGCAAGAATGGTTTGAAAATAGCTCATGCTTTTATTTCTGTTTTTGGCTCCATGCACACTAGCGTGTTGTTTTTGCACTCAAACGCTAGAAAAAACTCTGGATAAAAACGCTGTTAATAGCGTTTTTAGTTAGTGTTTAGAAGCGTTTAGCAGCATTACCGTTTTTCCTGTTGTAGGGAAAGCAATAAATGCTAGAAAAAGCTTAGACGTGTTTTAGGAGCATTAAGCGGTTTTTTTTTTTTTTCTGCTGGAAAAATGCTCCCAAAAACTGTAAAAAACAATTTTTTTTTTCTGCTCCTAAACACTGAAGCTTGAAAAATGCTACAAGCCTACACTAGTGTGCATGGACAAATAGGATAACACGATTTAGCTTCTAGGAGTAGAAATAAAAATGCTGATAACAGCTTCTAGGAGCTTAACCATTAGCCGCCCGGCCAATGGCCGTTTGGCGGCTTCAAATGTGTCTCTGCACTCCGGGTGCACGCCATTTGGCGTGCTCCCGCACATGCGCAGTTTGCGCTAATGCAGAGCAGCGCAGCAGTGCGATCTGTCACCGGCCGTGCACCTCGGACACGGCCGATGACAGATCCGAGTACCGGCTCCCGTTGCTGGTACCATGTGACCTGATGTGACCAATCACAGCAGGTCACATGACAGTTGTATACAATGGATGGCTTCATTCATGATGCCATCCATTGTATACTAGTGCCTAGCTGTGAATGGTCACAGCTAATCACATGCACATGTCATGTGATTAGCTGTGACCAAATCACAGCTAAGCACACAAAAAAAAAAAAAAAAAAAAAAAGCTGAATGAATCGATTTCATTCAGGTAAATGCTTGCTTATAGCAAAGTAATTCTTTGCTATAAGCAAATTGTGTAAAAAAAAAAAAAAAAAAAAAAAAAAAAAAAAATACTGATCACTTCCCCAAAGTAGTACCATGTTACTATGGTAACATTGTACTACTTTGGTCATAGTAAAATATGAAAAAATAAATCTTAAAAAAAATGTAATAAATTAAATATAATAAAAAAAAATATATATATATTTTTTTCATACTGTCACCAGTCAGTGTCCCTGTTCACCGCCATGCCAGTTATATGATGACGCTGTACTGCACTGGTGACAGTATGTAAAAAAAAAAATAGTGAAAATTATTTTTTAAATTTTTAAATTTTCCGAAAAATTATGACAAAAAAATACAACTTCAAAAAACTCGCCATGCCTCTTATGAAGTACGTCGGATTGTCTACTCTGCAAAATATTCAGATGTATCCCATAGTTTGTGAACTCTATAACTTTCCTACAAACTAAAAAATACATCCTAATTTTGGGTTATTTTCACCAAAGACATGTAGCAGAATACATCTCGGCCTAAATTTATGAAGAACAATTATTTATTTGTAAACTTTTATAACAGAAACAAAGAAAAATGTGTTTTTTTTTTTTTTTTTTTTTTTTTTTTTCAAAATTTTTGGTCTTTTTTGTTAATTTAGCAAAAAATAAAAACCCCAGCGGTGATTAAATACCACCAAAAGAAAGCTCTAGTTGTGTGAAGAAAATGATAACATTTTAGTTTGGGTACAGTGTTGTATGACCGCGCAATTGTCATACAAAGTGTGAGAGCGGTTACAGAAGATAGCTTGAAAGGCAGGCATTTTCTGCACTTGCTGAACATACTGTATTCCTAACTTGAAAAATAAAAACTGCAAACACCACATCTAAGAAATGGTAATCTGCAATGTATTACTTTTTGTTCTTGACTGTAGATATGCTTTATTGCAACCCAGTCCCTTGCCAATTCTTACATAAACCACTGCCAAATGTGAACCGTTTATCTGCAGTTTGTTTCTAAAATGCAGATATAACCCATCCCATACCCATATCTTGCCTCTCAGACAGCCTATCAGTCGCAGCCTGCACCTCAACTAGACTTTTCCCTTTCCGGGAACAGTCATCTGCCACTGCTTGGTTCATATGTCAGCAGGGTAGTCTTTAGAGATACAAGGTCTCTACTGTTGGCGTTTGACAACATTTTTGCATAAATGTGTTGTTTAGTCTGTTTGCCTTGATGTATGTTTTGGCAAATGAAGTACTTTTGAAATAATCCATGTATGTTATATGCTTCTGGAATGGAAAGGTTCACGTTAAAGTGCACCTGTGTAGACTGTAGACATTAAAGGCTAAGTTCACCTTTGTTTAAAAAGTAATAAATGCATGTTTTTACAAGTAAAAAATGTACATTTAGTGTTTTTCTTTCTCAGGAGCCCGTAGAGCATTGTGCCTGTGATCAATGGATCGCAGGTGCAGTGTCAAGCTTCTGCAGACGCTTTCCACAGCTCTCTTCCCGTACCTCTGTACTTGCTGTCAGTTTCAGAGCTGCAGGAAGTGTCTGTGGACTCCGAAGGCACTGATCAGTGCTCTCATAGTCCATCTGCTGTGGTGGTAGACGAGACTTGTAGTTCATCCGTTCACAGATTGCTGTGAATAAATGACAGTTGTGTGGGCTGAGCCCTGCACAGCCATACCAGTTTTAAATGTGACTGTGGAGGTGGGGGTTATTACAGGTGTAACTTGTTGCTAAAGGTGAACTTGGCCTTTACAGTGCCTTGAAAAAGTATTCATACCCCTTTGAAATTTTCCACATTTTGTAATGTTACAACCAAAAATGTAAATGGATTTTGTTGGGATTTTATGTGATAGACCAACACAAAGTGGCACATAATTATGACGTGGAATGAAAATGCTAAATGGTTTTTAAAATGTTTTACAAACAGATATCTGACCAGTGTGGTGTGCATTTGTATTCAGCCCCCCGGAGTCAATACTTTGTAGGACCACCTTTCACTGCAATTACAGCTGCAAGTCTTTTTGTGGATGTCTCTACCAGCTTTGCACATCTAGAGAGTGAAATTGTTGCCCATCATTCTTTGCAAAATAGCTCAAGCTGTATCAGATTGGATGGAGAGCGTCTATGAACAGCAATTTTAAAGTCTTGCCACAGATTCTCAATTAGATTTTGGTCTGGACTTTGACTGGGCCATTCTAACACATGAATATGCTTTGATCTAAACCATTCCATTGTAGCTCTGGCTAGATGTTTAGGGTCGTTGTCCTGCTGGAAGGTGAACCTCTGCCCCAGTCGAGTCTTCTGCGGACTCTAACAGGTTTTCTTCTAAGATTGCCCTGTATTTGGCTCCATCCATCTTCCCATCAACTCTGACCAGCCTCCCTGTCCCTGCTGAAGAAAAGCATCCCCACCACATGTTGGTGCCAACACCATGTTTTACGGTGAGGATGGTGTGTTCAGGGTGATGTGCAGTTAGTTTTCTGCCATACATAGCATTTTGCTTTTAGGCCAAAGAGTTCAATTTTGGCCAGAGCACCTTGCTCACATGTTTGCTGTGTCCTCCCACATGGCTTCTCACAAACTGCAAATGGGACTTCTTATGGCTTTCTTTCAACAATGGCTTTCTTCTTGCCACTCTTCCAGAAAGGTCAGATTTGTGGAGTGCACGACTAATAGTTGTCCTGTGGACAGATTCTCCCACCTGAGCTGTGGATCTCTGCAGCTCCTCCAGAATTACCATGGGCCTCTTGGCTGCTTCTCTGATTATTGCTCTCTTTGCCCGGCCTGTCAGCTTAGGTGGACGGCCATGTCTTGGTAGGTTTGCAGTTAAGCCATACTCTTTCCATTTTCGGATGATGGATTGAACAGTGCTCCGTGACATGTTCAAAGCTTGGGATATATATTTTTTTATAACCTAACCCTGCTTTAAACTTCTCCACAACTTTATCCCTGGCCTGTCCGGTGTATTCCATGGCTTTCATGATGCTGTTTGTTCACTAATGTTCTCTAACAAACCTCTAAAGGCTTCACAGAAGAGCTGTATTTATACTGAGATTAAATTACAGGTGGACTCTATTTACTAATCAGGTGACTTCTGAAGGCAATTGGTTCCACTAGATTTTAGTCAGGGGTATCAGAGTAAAGGGGGCTGAATACAAATGAATGCCACACTTCTCATATTTATTTGTAAAAAAATTTGAAAACCATCTATCATTTTCCTTCCATTTCACAATTATGCACCACTTTGTGTTGGTCTATCACATAAAAGCTCAATAAAATACATTTATGTTTTTGGTTGTACATGCTGACAAAATGTGGAAAATTTCAAGGGTTATGAATACTTTTTCAAGGTACTGTAAACAATTTACATTATAAAACCGGTCCTAACTCACCTCTGTAGCCGCTTGTGCTGTGGCATAATTTATTTCTGAAAACAACATAAAAATCTGGTTGCCTTGATCCCACTTCCATAGAAAAAAAGCTGAGATTTTGAAGCCTCTGTTGTGAAACTTGAAAATTTCTCTAGAATGCCTATAGCTACAGAGGTGAGTTTGTTTTAAAGTGATTTTGCTGCTGCTTCAGAATATCTAAATTATTTTTTTACATGGTCTTAAAAAGTTACAAAACTGAGTTTTTTTTTTTTTTTTGCAGTTTACTACTGCTTTAAAATGTCATTATACAGTTAGGGCCATATACATTTGGACACAGGCACAATTTTAGTTTTTTTTTTAGTTATTTACCAAAACATATTCAAGCTATAGTTATATAATGGATATGGGCTGACAGTGCACACTCTCAGGTTTAGTTTGAGGATATGTACATCCAAATTGGAGGAAGGGTTTAGGAATTACAGTACTTTCAGCCCATAGCCATTCTATAACTATAGCTTGAATATGTACCTGGAAAAAAAACTAAAATTGTGCCTGTGTCCAAATAAACAGTATCTCACGGAAGTGAGTCCACACCTCACATTTTTATAAATATTTTATTATATCTTTTCATGTGACAACACTGAGGAAATTACTTTTTGTTACAATGTGACGTAGTGAGTGTACAGCTTGTATAACAGTGTACATTTGCTGTCCCCTCAAAATAACACAACACACAGCCATTAATGTCTAAACCGCTGGCAACAAAAGTGAGTACACCACTAAGTGAAAATGTTCAAATTGGGCCCAAAGTGTCCATATTTTGTGTGGCCACCATTATTTTCCCAAGTCATCTTCCAGGACAGCTTCACTTGAGAGATAGGCTCCTCAAACCAGGAAACACCCAATCCACTTTTTCCCATAAGTAGCCTGTCTCTACAAGGAACCTCCAGCAGGAACGACACCCGTTTATTTTTTTTGTCTGTGGCCGTCTGGCAGGGCACAGAGGCCTCCTGGATGGGGCTACCCCTCTCTCTTCAGCAAGGCACGTGCCTTGCGGGGTGGCCTCACTCCGGGTTCCCTTTGGCTTGGGGGAGACAGCACCCCCTCCTATGGTCCTGCGGGCTCACCAGGGGGGCTAGGGCCCGCTCTGTCGACTTATCAGGTAAGGGACCGCTACCCTGTGGGGCAAACCCTACCTTTCCTCTAGCTGCCATCTCCGACAGGAGGCGTAGGTCGATTACATCACTCCCGAGTGCCGGGACTTGCGAATGTCACTTCCAGCACCCGAGAGGAACAGGAATCGGACCACCGCTACTTTGGTTTAACCCTGCCTTAACTCTCTTGGCATGGAGTTCACCACAGCTTCACAGGTTGCCACTGAAGTCCTCTTCCACTCCTCCATGATGACATCACGGAGCTGGTGGATGTTAGAGACCTTACGCTCCTCCACCTCCCATTTGAGGATGCCCCACAGATGCTCAATAGAGTTTAGGTCTGGAGACATGCTTGGCCAGTCCATCACCTTTTACCCTCCGCTTCTTTAGCAAGGCAGTGGTCGTCTTGGAGGTGTGTTTGGGGTCGTTATGTTGGAATACTGCCCTGCGGCCCAGTCTCTGAAGGGAGGGGATCATGCTCTCCTTCACTATGTCACAGTACATGTTGACATTCATGGTTCCCTCAATGAACTGTAGCTCCCCAGTGCCAACAGCACTCATGCAGCCCCAGAACATGACACTCCAACCATCATGCTTGACTGTAGACAAGACACACTTGTCTTTGTACTCCTCACCTGGTTGCCGCCACACATGCTTGAAACCATCTGAACCAAATCAGTTTATCTTGGTGTCATCAGACCACAGGACATGGTTCCAGTAATCCATGTCCTTAGTCTGCTTGTCTTCAGCAAACTGTTTGTGGGCTTTCTTGCGCATCATCTTTAGAATAGGCTTCCTTCTGGGACGACAGCCATGCAGACCAATTTGATGCAGTGTGCGGCGTATGGTCTGACCACTGACAGGCTGACCCCCCCCACCCCTTCACCTCTGCAGTAATGCTGGCAGCACTCATACGTCTATTTCCCAAAGAAAACGTCTGGATATGACGCTGAGCACGTCCACTCAACTTCTTTGGTCGACCATGGTTAGACCTGTTGTGAGTGGAACCTGTCCTGTTAAACCGCTGTATGATCTTGGCCACCGTGCTGCAACTCCGTTTCAGGGTCTTGGCAATCTTCTTATAGCCTAGGCCATCTTTATGTAGAGGAACAATTCTTTTTTTCAGATCCTTAGGGAGTTCTTTGCCATGAGGTGCCATGTTGAACTTCCAGTGACCAGTATGAGAGAGCGATTAATACTAAATTTAACACACCTGCTTCCCATTCACACCTGAGACTTTGTAACACTAACGAGTCACATGACCAGGGAGGGAAAATGGCTAATTGGGCCCCATTTGGACATTTTCACTTAGGGGTGTACTCACTTTTTGTTGCCAGTGGTTTAGACATTAATGGCTGTGTATTGAGTTATTTTGAGGTGACAGCAAATTTACACTGTTGTACAAGCTGTACACTCACTACTTTACATTGTAGCAAAGTGTCATTTCTTCAGTGTCGTCACATGAAAAGATAGACTAAAATATTTACAAAAATGTGAGGGGTGTACTCACTTCTGTGAAATACTGTATATGGACCTAACTGTCTCAACTTTTCAAACAAAAGCAATTTATTTCTAAGCAGTCAAAAAAAGAATTGTTTTAACACAAGGCAGCCCTCTGACCATTCATTTTTTTTTTTTTTTTTTTTTGTATCTTTGTTGAAACCTTTATTCTGATTTTGCTTCCCATTTTTGATCTTGCAGAGAAGACATGTATTCTCAAGACTCAATTGATCTGTTGGCAAATTCAGGCCTTCAGTTCCAGAAGCATGAGGAAGAAGGCATAGACACCCTGACCTTTGCTGAGCTGCTTATGACCTCTGGGGTAGTTCTTTGTGATAACGTCAAGTGGCTTTCATTCCACAGGTGAGCGGTGTGTGTTATTGAGAATGCTTTCCTGGTTACAGATATTACTAACCTTTTTCAATCAAAATGTAAGGTGTTTGTTTTTATAAAGATTTTTTTTTCATCCTTTTTCAGAATGTAGCAGGTGACATTTCTCTTTTATGTCCAAGTGTTTGTAAGTTGTTGTGCCAGACAGACATGTGTACACTTTTCTTGTGTCAACCTTTTATTCTCTGTCTCTATTTGGGAGACTTCTCCTTACTGTGGGAGAAAAGCTTTCCAGCATGGACACAGAATGAACGGCAAACCTGAGGTTCTATCCCTTCTTCTCTATCCAAAACCAAGGAACTTTTGAGCTGGACTTTAATGACTTTTAATGTTATCTGTTCCTGTTGTCTAATTTTCCCTTTTTTTTTTCTTTTCTTTTCTCTCACAGTGGTTATGATTTTGGGTATATGGTGAAGCTTCTAACAGACTCTCGTCTCCCTGAAGAGGAACATGAATTTTTCCATATTTTGAATCTTTTCTTTCCATCAATCTATGATGTAAAATATCTGATGAAGAGCTGCAAAAATTTGAAGGTACAGAAACACAGCCCTTGTATTGACCAGAAACCCAGTGGTAATAGAAATACATAACACCTTGTAGCAGATAGGTTTCACTATCCTCTCATCTTTCCTTGTTCCCCAGTTTTTGCAGTTTTATTGGGGTTGATTATTAAAAAAGATAATCCAGGCATCACTGTTTTAAATTCAAAAGTTTGATGAAGACAGGCAGTCATTGGGGTTTTAGTAAATCAACTTCATCAATGTAGTCTGACACAATTTGTGCCTTCTGCTACCTGGAAAAAGGGAACAGGTTGAAAATTTACAGGCTTGTGTATGGCAGTGAGTCTAACCTTTGTGAGAATTGGCCTCGCGTTGCTTCTGGGAGATGACATCTAGCAGGCGAGTTGAATACAGTTGCCATCACAACATTTGAACCAGCACATAGCAGAGTCTTTCAGGTTGGGGCTTTAAAGTCCCTTTCTAGGCCAGGGGGAGTACAGCGTTTGACAGGATTATAGTAGAGTGCACTATGTACCCTTCAGATGTGTCTTATGGTTGAGTTTAATTAAAATATACCTTTAACCACTTGCTAACGTGTGTGTTTGTCCTATGAAACATTTTAGGTATTGTAGGTTGTTGCCATTTTACACATGCTTCCAATTTTGAGTGTTGTCATGTTTGGTGTCTATATACTCCTTGCAACATCTATTATATTTTGCCAAACAAATTGAGAATTCTATTAATTTTTTTTTTTGTGCACTAAAAATCATTTTAGTATATTTTTTTTTCTTCTAAAAAATTTGATAAACATTTGCGTGAATCTTGTGTGACATAAAAAATTGCAACAGCCACCATTTTTTTTTTTTTCCTGGGCCTCTGCTTTCAGAAAATATAGTGTTAGGGGGTTCTAAGTAATTTTCTATGGAAAAAAGATGATTTTTTAGCAGGTATGTGAAAAATTAAAAATTTGCCCCAGACAGCAAGTGGTTCATGTCAGTACTGATGTTGCTAGGTTCAGAAGGAATCCATTATGTCAGATCAGACAGTCCCCCTAAGTGTTAGTTATTTCTCAGATAGAGGGATAAACCCAACTCCTGTGCAGATTTTATTACGACCTGTGTCCCCATTGTTGAAATTTGTTTTTAGTTAATTTGCTGATACCATGTTACACCCTGCCACCAGGACAAGAAGTGAGGGCATCTTCTCAGTGGGTAGACGGACAGCAATTAAAACTTGACAGATGTTTTACTCTCTCTCCATTCTATCCAAAACAAGAAGAAAGTTTTGGCTAAAGTTGGGGTGAATGAAATGGTATACATGGCTCCTACAGAGCCAAGTGTGGACTTTGTTGTCCACAGCAACCCAACTTTTTCCCATATCTAATTAAAATAAGAGAATCTGTGTTATGGGCTGCAGAATCTGTCAATTAAGTTTTCAAGCATAAAAGGCCCACATTTGTGTTTTTGTTTTTTTTTTTTTTCTTTTTACTTTTTTTTTTTTTTTTTTTTTTTTTACGTTGTCTATGAAAAGTGTTCTCAAATGCAGTTCTTTTATTTTGTGTTTGTAATACAATCCCTTCTTACACAGGGTGGTCTGCAGGAGGTGGCTGATCAGCTGGACTTGCAACGGATTGGTAGGCAGCATCAGGCTGGTTCTGATTCTCTGCTCACTGGCATGGCTTTCTTTCGGATGAAGGAGGTGAGCTCTTGCATAAATGAGGCATAATGTACTTAGCTTGCAAAATCTTTGCAGAATCTGTGTGCAGCATCTGAATGTGGCCAGGCATATGCTTCAGTACTGTGCCAAATTAATAACATGGCATATTATGGGGGGAATTCTCAGCTCTGAGTATAATTTTCATGAGTTTTAGAGTGACCAATTGCAGGCCATGGGGGGGGGGGGTTAAGCTTTTTAGGGGTACCCCTAGGAGGTGCTTCTGATATTAAGCCTAGTTATTACACATAGGTTTTCCATTTTCTGCCACTCCAATCATCTGGGCATGTGGCATGAGAAATGACAGTAAGTCTAGCCATTAATGTCAAGATTTTTCTTGTTCCGCCAACAGGGCTAAATGGGGAAAATCAATAGATTCCCACATCTACTTTAAAATAAGCTGTTGTATTCTGACAGCCACTGCTGCTCTGATTGGCTGCCATTACTGTTCTGGTGCTAAATTTCCAATTGGCACCTTCAATTTGTAGATCAAAGTTTTTTGAGATGGGTGGTGCCGATGGGACCTCCCATGGCTTGAAATTCAGCTGATTCCTGGCACTGCAGACCACTGGCTTGTGTCTCATGACCTGTCATCAGATAAACATTTGTGGTTTCTTCTAACCATTGCATGAAACGCCTTTGTTTTTTGAATTATGGGATGAAGACCCTTTTAACACTCTAGAGATACTCCCAACAGTAAGAAAAAGCTTGGGGGTATGTCCTAGTGCAGGGGTGGGCAACTGTGGCCCTCCAGCTGTTGTAGAACTACAATTCCCATGAGGCATTGCAAAACTCAGTTACAAGCATGACTTCCAAAGGTAGAGGCATGATGGGACTTGTAGTTCACCAACAGCTGGAGGGCCACAGTTGCCCACCCCTGTCCTAGAGCCATTGTACATGGGACATATCTCTTCAAGCGTAGGATGAGCAGTGTACAAAAGTGTTGCAAAATGGAAGAAAGATTACCGTATTTTTCGCTCCATAAGACGCACCTGACCATAAGACGCACCTAGGTTTTAGTAGAGCTGTAGAGCTGAGCGGCCGGCCCGGTATTCTGACACGGTGGCAGTGGAAATACCGGACCGGCTGCTCCATATTCGCTCCATAAGACGCACTGACATTTTCCCCCCTTTTTTGGGGTTTTAGAGGCAGAAAACAGGAAAAAAAAAATTCTGAACTAATGGACTGCAGACACAGTACAGGAGATGACCAGAGACTGCGGACACAGTACAGGAGATGACCAGAGACTGCGGACACAGTACAGGGGATGACCAGAGACTGCGGACACAGTACGGGAGATGACCAGAGACTGCGGACACAGTACGGGAGATGACCAGAGACTGCGGACACAGTACGGGAGATGACCAGAGACTGCGGACACAGTACGGGAGATGACCAGAGACAGCGGACACAGTACGGGAGATGGCCAGAGACTGCGGACACAGTACAGGAGATGACCAGAGACTGCGGACACAGTTCAGGGGATGACCAGAGACTGCGGACACAGTACAGGGGATGACCAGAGACTGCGGACACAGTACAGGAGATGACCAGAGACTGCGGACACAGTACAGGAGATGACCAGAGACTGCGGACACAGTACAGGGGATGACCAGAGACTGCGGACACAGTACGGGAGATGACCAGAGACTGCGGACACAGTAGGGGAGATGGCCAGAGACTGCGGACACAGTACAGGAGATGACGAGAGACTGTGGATAGTACAGGGGATGACTGCTGACCTTTTGGGAGGGGGGGGAGCGGGTACCTGAATTTGACAAGTACCCGCTCCCACTTCCGCGTAGTTGTTCTTTCATCTTACCTGTTCCTCTATCCAGCCGCACGCTGTCTTCCCGGCTTCTGTAATGGCGCTCGGCATGACAGCCGGGTGCCCAGTGCGCATGAGCGAGAAGCACTTGCGCTTTGTGATTGGTCCGGCGGCTTCTGGGATCTGTCATGTGTCCCAGGTGCTGCCTTACCATTCACAAAAAGCACCGCTTCTTGCACATGCGCACTTGGCACCCGGCTGTCATGCCCATACTACAGAAGCCGGGAAGACCGCGCCGCTGGATAGAGGAACGGGTAAGATGAAAGAACAACTCCACGGAAGTGGGAGCGGGTACCTGTCAAATTCAGGTACCTGCTCCCCCTCCCTCCCCAAAGGTCAGCAGTCATCTCTATAAGGTCCCGCTGTAGAGCTGAGCGGCCGGCCCGGTATTCTGACACGGCGGCAGTGGAAATACCGGACCGGCCGCTCCATATTCGCTCCATAAGACGCACTGACATTTTCCCCCCTTTTTTGGGGGGAAAAAAGTGCGTCTTATGGAGCGAAAAAAATACGGTAGTTAATCATGATGGTGAGGAACCCTGAATTTGTGCACATGAAGATCACAAGGATATTGTAAAATTATATCCTTGATATTGTATACTCCTTTGCCGTACGTGGAACCAGGCAAAGAAAACAAACTTCAGGCTATAGTGCATTTATTGGGATTGCTGGTCTGGAGTGCAGCTGAATCTCAATAGCTAGTGCTGGGAACAACACCTTGCTGCCTCAGCTAGTGAGGGAGTGATTTCTCTTTAACAATCCTGCCACTGCTAAGTTGTTGGTGGCAGAATGGCCCGTCTGATATCGGTCTTAAATTTTGTTTCTAGTACAAAGTTAGAGGAGTTGTCGCTGTTGGTATCTCCTACAAACATACAGGAACCAAGACTGTCAAACTGACTTCAATTCCTGGTGCTCATACCCATCTGGGTCAAGGAGTGTTTATAGAATATGCTAGATACACCCTATGGGCTTAAATAAAGACCGGCAGAGAGTGTCAGTCAGCATTGGTCCTCTATTTGTTAATGTATAAAACTCATTGCTTCAGAAAATTCATCAAAGTCATTCATTCTTTCAAGCTGTGGCTAGTACATTAATTATAGTTCTCTGGTTGTCTTCTTCACTATTAGTTATTTTTTGAGGACCACATTGATGATGCCAAGTACTGTGGACGCCTCTATGGGCTAGGGACAGGGGTGGCCCCAAAATCCAACGAGGAGGCAGAGGAAAAAATAAGCATCATGTCTCTCATCAACAATGGACAACAATGAGATGGCCTTGACTGGGACATCTGACCTCCATTCTCCATGTCTGCTCCTCTCCATCGTATCTTCTGCACACCTTCCAAATAGCAACTCTTGGAACCAGATGAAAATTAAATAATCAATAGAAGTGACTGCTTTTATGAACATTCTGTCCAACATGTCACTTTTTCTTTGTTTTAAAACTTTTACGGCAAGAGATCAACATCTTATGGAGAGAAAAAGACAGCCAAACCGCTTCTGGACCATCCAGTTTTCTACCGTATGATGAGCCACATGGGGCACAGCCTCCAAAGCACCTTTGCCATCAGCTCCAGTTGCGTATTTTTCCATTGCTTTCAGAAAAGATGGTTTACATGTTGTGGGTGTGGACACAGCAGTCCCGGACCAGGCCAGTGCTTGTCCTCATAGGCGCCACCAAAACTAAGCACCTTTAGTAACACTGCCAGAGAAGGCTAAAGAAGTTTTAGGGGTCAGGTATTTATAAAGCCTTATCGTAAGCTTTTGATTAAGAACATTTTGAACCTAATCCATAAACAGGAGGAGATCGCTGCACCCTATAGTAGAAGTGTATGTATACTAATCTGAAGAACGGTGAGTCTCTATACTTTGCTCTTTGCAGAGCTAGCAGTGCTGCTGCTATCTGACACTTTTGGGTGCTTTGGATTATGCTCCCCACTGGGCCCCATGATTTTGCCAACTGGCCACTGAGTTCTAGTTTAGTGACCTAATAGCCAGTGGGACCGACCGCTGTCCCCAGTGGGGAAACATGCTGTCTGACACACCAAGTGTTGGAAAGCAGCTGTGCAAGAAAAAAAATTATTTCACTGCTTGCCAGTGTCAGCATTTATCATCTTCTATTGCGAGATGCAGATGCCCAATATTTTTTTTGTTTAGAGTAGCAACAGTGTTGCTTTATGGAGACACTGTGCCTGTTTCAAAAAGGTCTGTAAGAGGTGCAACTTACTTTTTAAAGCAAGTTACTATTGTTGGAGTTTTATTTGCATTCCTTTAAAGGATACAATAGAGGTTCTGATTTATTCTGCATACATAGGGATATTCGGTGGCACAGCATGCAAATGAACAAACAAAAGGAGGGCGCACTGGCCTAGTGCGTTATCATTTAAAAGTATTTATTGAAAGAATAAAATAATAAAATATTCGGTGGCACAGCAGTTGCTTAGCAGAGAAGCTCATTTCTCTCTGCCATGAATATGACAGGTATATGATAGGATCTCCTTGGTAACAGTAAAGATCCAGTGAGACGGCGGAGTTCACTACAGTTACAATGAAAAAATAAATTTTTGAATGAACTTAAAATGTAATTTTGGGTGTAGATTTTTATTAAAGGTATATTACATTTCACTATTTTGTTGCAGTTTAATGTGGAAGGACATGCCATGTCTGCCTGTCACAGCCTGACTTGCTTAACAAAGTGCAAATATCTTTAATTTATTTAGAAAAGAAAAAGCCTTCTATTATGTATCAACATTGTATTTATTGTAGGCTATGAAATTCAAAAGGCAAAACATTCAAAAACTACTTTTGTTTTTTTTTCTTTTACGTATATGATGTTTGAGATTGAAAGGTCTTCCCTATGCCATTTTAAGTCTCAGGGATATGGCGTTTAAAATTTTTTTCTCTCTTTTTTAATTTTACTATAAAGTGTGTCCTATTTTTATATGTGTCTATCAACTAAGCGACAGAAATGAGAACAAGCACTGCCCTCATTCCTTGCTATGTCCTTTGTTTAATTAAGAAAAAAAAAAATGGCCAAAAGCATTGGAAAGATACTGTTCACTCTTACAGTTGCGGTTTTAGCCAGCCAAAGTTTTGTAACCCACGTCCATTGTTGTAAGCTGGAGTTTAAACACGTGTAAATATTATTTATGTTTTTAAATTTGTAAAATAAAGATATTTCTTTTTTGTTCTTTTTTTTTTAGTGAAGTGTGTGTACATTTTATTTTTCAGTGAATTGCCCTTCAAGAAGTCAGCAGTAGCCTTTTATCATCTCTTTTATCAAGTATATAACTTAGAATTTCTGCATCAGTGTTCTGTAAACCATAGTTTCCAGTTAGAATTTTGCTTTAAAGAAAAACCTCCAGGAATGTTTTTCTTCTTCAGCAAAACTGATGAGTTATAGAAAGTTAAATAGCAAGAGGTGTATGCCATCTCCTGCCTATTCTGAACACTGTACTTTAGTGTAAAGCTAGATGTTCAATAGACTTCTGGCACTCCGACAGGAGACATGCCCTCTCCACCTTTCACTTCCCTGCCCATTCACAGAACCCTTTATCTACCTCTTCTCTCCTCATCTAAGGATTTGTAGTCAATTTATTTATTTCAAGTACTTATATATTGCTGTCAGTTTATGCAGCGCTTTACATATATATTGTACATTCACATCAGCCCTAACCCTCAAGGGGTGTACAATCTAAGGTCCCTAACTTATATTCATACATACACATATTAGGGCCAATTTAGACAGGAGCCAATTAACCTACCAGCATGTCTTTGGGAGGAAACCGGAGTACCCGGAGAAAACCCACGCAGGCAGAGCGAGAACATGCAAACTCCAGGCAGGTGGTGCCGTGGTCGGGATTTGAACCAGCGACCCTAGTACTGTCAGGCGGAAGTGCTAACCATTTAGCCACTGCTGGCCTGGTCAATGAATCCATTCAAACAAAACACAAACAGGACATCTGCTGTGTATGTGGACTCCTCCTGTTAGTTACAGAATTGCAGTGAAAGCTATGCTATTGCTGACCAATGAAAAGTGTAAATTATAGGCAGTGACTCATAGTTACATAGTTAGTCTGGCTGAAAAGAGACAAAGGTCCATCCAGTTAATCCATTAAAGAAAAAAAAAAAAAAAAGATAATCCTATACTCACAATTGATCCAGAGGAAGGCAAAAAAAAAACTCAGCAAAGCATGATCCAATTTGCTCCTGCAAGGAAAAAAATTCCTTCCTGATCCTCCGAGAGGCAATCGGATATTCCCTGGATCAACTTTACCTATAAATGTTAGTATCCAGTTATATTCTGTGTATCTAAGAAAGAATCCAGAACTTTTTTAAAGCAATCCACTGAGCTGGCCAGAACCAACTCTTGAGGGAGTCTATTCCACATTTTCACAGCTCTTACTGTGAAGAAACCTTTCCGTGTTTGGAGAATACATTTATTTTCCTCCAGACGTAAAGAGTGCCCCCTTGTCCTCTGTGATGACCTCAGGGTGAATAACTATACACCGAGATCACTATATGAACCACTGATGTATTTATACATGTTGATCATATCCCCCCTTAATCTCCTAAAGAGAGAATAAATTCAGTTCCTCTAATCTTTCCTCATAGCTGAGCTCCCCCATGCCTCTTATCAGTTTGGTTGCCCTTCTCTGTACTTTCTCCAGTTCCCCAATGTTTGTGAATTGGTGCTTAAAAATTGAGCTGCATATTCCAGATGAGGTGTTACTAATGATTTGTACCGGGATAATATGATATCTCTCTCTCTGGAGTCTATACCTCTTTTAATACAAGAGAGGATTTTGCTCACTTTAGAAACCGCAGCTTGGCATTGCATGCCATTATTAAGCTTGTGATCTACCAGAACCCCCAGATCCCTCTCCACCATTGATTCCCCTAGTTGTACCCCCCCCGTAGTATGTATGATGCATGCATATTCTTAGCCCCCCAAGTGCAGAACCTTACATTTATCAACATTAAACCTCATTTGCCACATAGTTGCCCAATTATACAGTGCATTGAGGTCGGCTTGTAAGTTGGAGACATCCTGTAAGGACCTTAGTCCACTGCACAGCTTGGAGTCATCTGCAAAGACTGAAATGGGATTTATCGCAGGCCCTATATTGTTTATAAATATATTAAAAAGTAAGGGTCCCAACACTGAACGTTGGGGTACACCACTGACGACCCTAGACCATTCAGAGTATGGATCATTAACCACTACTTTCTGAATACCATCTTTTAGCCAGTTTTCTATCCATTTACATATGGATTTTTCCAAGCCTGTAGACTTTACCTTATACATTAGCCCTGTGTGTGGAACTGTGTCAAACGCTTTTGAAAAATCTGAGTATACCACGTCCACCGCCACCCCTCTGTCCAAGTATACCACGTCCACCGCCACCCCTCTGTCTAAGGTTTTGCTCACCTCCTCATAAAAAGAAATCAGATTTGTTTTACAACTTCTGTCTTTCATGAATCCATGCTGTCTGTTGCTTAAAATATTTTTTTTCCAGCAAGAACTCATCTATGTGGTCTTTTATTAAACTCTCCAGTATCTTCCCAACTATAGATGTTAAACTTGGTAAAGATTTTGACCCCTTTTTAAATACTGGCACCACATTGGTCTTATGCCAATATAGTGGTACCATGCCAGTCATTAAAGAGTCCCTAAAAATTAGAAACAATGGCTTTGAAATGATAGAGCTCAATTCTTTAAGGACCCGTGGATGTATGCCATCCAGTCCAGGTGCTTTATTCACCTCTATTTTGGCTAAATATTTCTGGATCATATCAATTGTGAGTCAGTGTGGATCATCTGGAGCTGTGTCAATACCATTCTCATTATGGACAAGAGCTCCCCCATGCTCCTTTGTATACACAGAGATGAAGAAGGTATTTAATAAATTTGCCTTCTCTTTGTCCCCAATCACCCACTCTAGAGCCTACATGCTTGGACCGGACCTTTTTACTATTAACAACATACTTGGAAAATTTTTGGGGGTTGGTCCTGCTACTTCTTGCAATCTGTCGTTCATTTTCAGTGGAACTTTGCCCCCTTGTGCTGCTGGTCAGTGGAACTTTGCCCTCTTGTGCTGGGTCTCTAAAAGGTTCGTCATCACTGCCCTAAACCATATATTTTCTGAAATTTTGCTTTTGTGTGGCACCAAAGCGTGCGTTCACCTTTTCCGCTATCACTGGGGGACAGGGACGCTTTGTTTTATTTTTTAATTATTACTTTATTTTTTTTTATTTTTAAACTGTTG